ACTCTATGTTATTCTAAATGATTACCATTTATCTTCATAAATTATACTTCTGCAAATTATTCCTCTCATTACCATTATTCCACCAGTTTTTATTCCACTTATTTACTATCATTTGCACCCGATGATTTGCTAACCCAAGAAAACACCCCTAATAATTAATTACTAGATTTTGACCCACGCCAAACGTGAGATTGGATAATTAAATATGTTTTTAATAGAATTTAATATTTAGACGTGTATTCTAACATTTATAAACACATAAAAATGATATGTATTGTGCATACATATAATAAAGCTAAATTTTGATCAAACATAAATATATTTTATTTTTGTTATTTTTTATTTTTCCTATCTATTAAAAATAATCATGATTGTTTTTGAATATTTTAATACCGCTTTTGAGGCTAATAAAAAAAATCTAGTATTATTGAAAAGAAAATAAAATATTTTCAAATATTTTCTATATTTCTTAAATAAAATTTTCTATATTAATTACTACATATTCGTTATTTCCATATATTTGTTATTAAGAATTTTTAATAATTTTTATTAAGAAATGAATTCTTTAAAATCCTTTTGTGATGACACCTAAGATTTTCACATAGCGTCTTCTCTATTAATATTACTCTGAAGAGATCCAGTTTAGTATACCGTATCTTAATGAATCTAATAATAGACATGTAAACGGTTACAGGGACAATGAGCACAAAGCAAGGAGGCAAATTCAGCATCGACAGGAGAGTGAATGGCCAAGGAGAGTCGCCGGCAAGATCATCGCCGGTGAAAGGTTTCGTGATGGGATCGAGCGTCGAAGGAGAAGGGAAAGTGAGCAAACCGGTCGTTCACGTCGGAGCACAGCACGTGACCTGCATGGCGGACGCAGCTCTCTTCGTGGCTCTCTCCGCCGCGGTTGACCTAAGCGTCGATGCGTGTCAGCTTTTCTCTCGTAAGCTCCGTAAAGAGCTTTGTCACGACGACCAAAGCTCCTTCTCATGACAAAAAAATTCAGTTAAAGACATTTACATTTTGACTTTAACAAAGAACGATCCATTGATGATTTCGGTTTTTATTGATTTTTTTTTTATCAGTTTGATATGTGAAGAATGAAGGAAAGGTGTACAGGCAACGATGATCTTTGTGTTGTTTGTATCATATTTATTTACCTGTTTCATATATTATTTTGGGTTCCAAGGTGTGTCTGATTATTCATTATTATTTCATATCTTCATTTTTTCATTCTTTTTTAATATTTGGGTCAACTATTCGTTTTGTATGTCTGTTTGTATCTGTAAAAGGTTATGGAACATGAAGTTATATATTCTCTCCGTTTCATTTTAAGTGAAATTTTAAAAA